GCCTGTTTGTGATGAATAAGGCTTGAGTCTTCTGTTTGTTGAGGTTGATCTTCCATTTGTTCATGTATTGTTGAACTTTTCTTCCTGTGTACTGTAGATGTGTCACAATATCGGCCGAGTTCTCTGCAGAATGATACAGTGCTGTATCATCTGCGAAAAGACCGATGTTGTTGGTTGTCTCTCTCACAACATCATACGGGAAGATGTTGTAATGGTTGGTGAAAGCACTGCTCCTTGTGGCACTCCGAATTTGATTACCTTGATTTCTGAGAACTGACCTGATCAAAAAAGCTCTTTTTAACAAAGTTTAACTCATCTGTGGAATTGCCCATTTACTAAGATTAAAATTTTAAAATTTTCAAATTCTAGAATTATAAGCGTTTTTTACATTTGATATATTTTTTATTTATTCAAACAAAAACGTGTTTACGTTTAAATGTGAGATATTTAACTGATTATAATATATTCACACCGTATTCACGTGTGAATGTTTTTGTTTTGCTCAGATTGAAAAATCAGTTTTTCGAGTTTTGAGAGGAAACGTAAAATACGATTTTTATAATCAAACAAGCAAGCAAGTTAATTAGCACAAAGTCTCAATAACGTTACATCATAGAGACTTCTAGTTTTTACATTACATCAGTCTTATAGAAGGCTGTATTGTTTTTGGGATATAGGAGGAAAACTTTTTAAGATGATTTGGCACATCCAATAAGCTTTAAATCTTCAGACATATGCTGAGCGAAGCTTGGCCTATTAACAATACTGGGGGTCCTCGATTTGAGTAGTTGTTTTGTTCCAAAAAATTTCTACTCAAATCGAATCTATTCAAATCGAGGCAAAGAATCCATACAAAATTACATGTTTTGTTCCTGAGTCCAAAAAATGTATCAAAACAATGAAAATTTTGATCATTTTTTGCACATTTTACCTCGTTTCTTAACTTTTCCTTTGTGTTTTAGATAACTTAATTTATTTCAACGCATATTCATATTGTTTTTAAACGGAAATGCACAAAAAAAATGTTTTTGAAACAAAACAAAAATATGAGAACCTTGCAAATGTTATTTCACTGAACAATTTGTAAGGTTTTTGAATTTGAACTTTTTAAAATCGTTGATTTTATATCGATTTTTTAAATTTTTACTTTAATTTTGTAACTTTAGTATCGATTTTTCTATCAATATAATAAGTTCACGCTTATCGCAGTAAAATTTATGTTTTAAAATTATTTTCTGAAATGTTTTTATCAAAAATATTTGTTTTGTAAACAATTCAAATCGAAGAAAACAAGAAGAAATCTACTCAAATCGAATATTTTGGTGGGTAATAAATTTTCTGTTCAAATCGAATCTACTCAAATAGAATCTACTCAAATCGAGGACCCCCAGTACTTTGGATTGTACATGTGAATAAATACGCACTGAGTTTCTACCCGATACACTAGTTTCTTATTTGTAACAACTGAGATCATTTATTTTAGAAAGCGAAAAGTTTTTTTTTTATAATATTTCTGTAAATACATATAAAGTTAATAATTAAATATTAAAATACTGAACAATCTCCCATTCAGCGAAAGAAATTACTAAAGACTCGTAAAAGTTCTCATGGGATCAACTATCTGTCTACACACTATTTTTTGAAATGCAAATATAAATTGCTGTAGGGTTTGAACAGTACTGTTAATTTTTTAAGACCAATAAATTGTTTTATATTTTTTATTGAATTTGTAGCGAATTTTTAATTTATTTGAAAATTTTATTCCGGTAATCAATAAAACAATTCATCATAATCTTTTTTTTAAAATTTTTTGTAGAAACACAAAAAATTAAATAAATGCAAGAATTGACGTAATGATGCCCTCAAGGGATCTTGTAAAAATACTGTTTACGCATCACAATTAACACCAAAATAGTATATGTTAAATACAAAGTTCAAAAATATAGGGGTGTTTTAGGAAATGCTATAGATGTACAAAAAATATTTGCAAAGCGTAAACATGCCATAGATTTGTTGTAATTCAATCAGCATAGATTAAAATGTTTTATATGAGAAAAGTAAGTTTGAAAGCGCATGTACCAAATTTAATTTTTTGTAAACACTTAATAAAATTCAACATCATCTAATTTAACTGAAATTATTTTGATTAAAAGTTTACTTTATCAAAATCTATCAGATTCAAAAATCTATCAATATAAGAGCTGATAAATAAAAAAAATTAAACGAATGTATGGATAAAATTGAAAATGATAGCTGCGGGACGTATCGTGAAGGTATATTAATATATAAAGCAATAAACAATACAGTTAATCCTCCGCTCAGCCTCATATTCTTAATTGTGAATAAAAATTTCCAAATCTTATTTGAAGCAATTTTTTATGCATACATTGAATTTCTTTCTTATTGTACAATCAATAATTTATTGATATGAAAAAGCTTATAGCAACCGATTTATAAATATTTCTTTATAACGTCGATGGAATCCTGATTTTTATTTTTTATTTTACAAATAAATGCCGAAAACAAGCAACTTACTACCTTTTATCTTTTAAAAATTTATCGTGTCACGGTTATTAAAAACCAATAAAACATTAAAGACAATTCAACGAATATTTATTATGTGCAAATTAATTCGATCTTATTTCTTATCAAATTTTAATGTTTTTTATTAATTAATAATAGATATCCATTGAAGCTTATGTATCTTCTATATTACACCTAAATATCTTTGAAACTAACATTTGAAAACTGATCAATAAATTTAATTTTAAATTGTTTGCAGATAAATCAAGAAAATTTATTAATTTTCAAGAGACAAACAGTTTATTTATTTGAAAGAGAGAAAAAAAAAACGCAATTTGTTGAAGCACATGCGAAAGTAGAATCTGCATTTATTATAAATGTAAATTGAGAAAAGAAAAATTAATGCCTAAAAGTGGATTGAGATTTTATTACATTTACTCTTATTGCAAAAAGGTCCATTTACTCTTGCTAAATGAAAAGGCTGCCAGGTTAGTATTGATGAAAATAATCGATTTCTCATTTTGCAACTGGTAAGCAAAATTGCTTCCGATCTTCAAATAACCAGAAGTGAAAAATTGTTGAAAATTAAAATAATGTCTTTCATTTTTGTTGCATTTGTAAAATCACTTACTAAAAGTAAATAATGTTCAATAAATTTGCCTTGAGAAATATTTTCCAATAAAGGTTTTTTTCATGCATACCTGAAGGCTTGCTTTTAAAATGTTGCATAAATCATTAATATAAGTTATTAACTGATATTTCAGAAAACTATAAGTAAACAAATTTGTAATACAAACCAGTTAAATTTTGTTTTTATCTTTAAAATTTTATTATTGTTTGTTTCATTAAAAAATTAATAAAATTCCAACTTTTGTGACAAAATTTTATTTTTGAACCTTCCTAGGTATTATAATTCACACAGGTAAATGAAACATTTTAATCTAAGAGTTATCAATAAGTATCAAATTTCATTCCATTTAAAGTTTCGCCTGTTTTTAAAATCTTGAAATCTAAAATCGTGGTTTGGAGTTTTAATAAATTTCGTATAATCCCAATTCTTTTCTGCATATAAAAACCCTATTTCTTCATGCCTTGACATTTTATGTACTTTTTCTTTTTATCAAATAGCTTCAACGAATATAATTCTGAAGTTATTGATTGTGTTTTGAACTCAATTGGTTGTTCTTATGATTCATTTTTTGTACATAATATGTAAAGAATAAATAAATAATTAAATCCACTTTACATAAATAATAATAATCTAATGTATTTAACAGTTTTAAACTAAAATACAATAAAGAATCAATTTATAAAAAAAAAAAAAAAAAAAAAAAAGAATATTTTTGTTTCTAAATTTTTCAGCTTTTTTTATTTTATTATTATGTGTAATCATAATACTCTAAAATAACATTACGTGATGGAAAGATATAAAAATTAAATTCTGATAAAATCTCGCGTGTGTATAATCATATTAATTTGACATTCTTTTGATATTTTAAATCAGATTTATGTCGTTATTATTCTGCGTATGGAAGCATAAATAAACAAAAGGACAATTGTAACATCCTCTGAATGAGAAAAGTTTTCAAACAAATCTCATGAAAAGGAAAATTTCTCTGATTTTGTATTTTATTTTTTTTTATTGAATGCACGTGCCTAGAAAATCACGCTGAGAGATTTTTCTATGGAAAGAAAATATAAAAGAAATGTCGTGGGTTGTGAAACTATAATTATTGTTATTGAAATATATCTATAGATTTTAATACTACAAAAATCAATCGAAAATAAGTAATTTTTTTCTTTGGAAATCATATTTCTTATTATAAGTATCTATTTAAATAATTATTAACAATTAATTTTTTTTAATTGCATTCAATTAAAAAAAAAGAATTTAAAATTAAAGGAAACAACATAAACTAATTCCAGAGCATGATAAAAAGTTAACATTTTTAAAATAAAAATATTGTATAATTATCAATTGCAAAGGAACAAAATAAAAACAAGCTCCTCCTCTTTTCGAACTATATGTATCGAGAAATTCATTAGCAATGGCATTGTATTAAAGAGCTACACAGTTTTTATTAAGAAAACAAATACATTCAAACAAAAATTCTCTCATTCTCTCAAAATTTCTGTTGTACAATGTTTCAAAAAAAAAAAAGATTCAAGAGCTTAAACAGCAGCAGTAGCAGTCAAGATGTGGTTTGTACGTTTTTTCCATGCAAAATTTATAAGTTAGTGTTTGCTCTTTTACGATCGGAAACGGGCGTCTGTTTAATATGTATTAAAGTATCATCGGAAAAATGAAGAATGATTTTTCTTTGTTTAAAATGTGTTCATTTGATGGTGAATCTTAATCATATGTGAAATGTAATAAAATAAAATTTAAATTCGAACATTTTTTTAATATTCAAATTTAGTATTTCTTTGCATCAAAAGTTGATGTTTAATTATTCTTTTAACAGTAATTCTGCAACATTTCATAGTATTACAAATCAACCAAGAATGCAACTGAAAGTTTAGTGAACAGATAACATGGTTTTCTTTATGTAAAATGCTAGTGTTGGAAAAAAATTAAAATTATTTTAACAATTGTAGTGATAAGCCTCTATTTATGAAAGTTTATTACTGAAACGAGGAAACATGAATAATATGAGAAAGAAAAGACAACCCTTTTTGATTTTTCAAGCATACGTACCGATTACGACAATTTTTGGACTTGTTAACAACAAAAACACTCAATAATTTTAATGGTAATTGTTTTGATGCTTTTATTTATTTATATTTATACTTGATTAGAGCAAGTTAAAATATTTTCATAGCAACGTTAAAAAAGATCTTTTTCGATGTTAAATGTTAAAAGTTCTGTTAAAAATAACAATAAAAATAAATATTTATGCTACTATTGGAATTAATCAAAAAACACAGTAGTAAAATTTTTATATACTATCAAAGAACAATTTGAAAATAATTTGCACAATGAGCTTTTTGTTTATAAGTTTATCTATCCAAAATGCATCGAATGAAAATTAACAAAAAAAAAATCCCTGAAGAGGTTTAACCAAGGCCTTTACTATAAATAAAAAACGTCAAAAATGTAATAAAGCCTAGAATCTTAAAAGTGTATTAAAATTAATTCCGCCTGACTTGATGTAAAGGTTAAGGGGTAATGTAATTCAAGAGTGGAAAACGGATAAACTTTCATAGGAGCCATAAGTAAGCATGTAACTTTATAGAAAATTTTTTATAAAAAAATCATTAGAATCATTGATTAGTATGCCATAATAAATTTTTGATAGAAAATATGAAAAAGTTTGTACACAACTACTGTAGAGAAATACTGGTGTGATGTTTTTAAAAATAATCTGAAAAGAATGTATTCACATTTTTAATAAATGTGAAAATTTGATAATTTTTCACGCTTTTCAGTAACTATTAATTATAATTGACATATGTGTGGAATAAATTCGGATATTTTCATTTTAAGTCTATTATCATAAACTTAATTGTGACTCTGTCGAAAATTTGTATCCAAATGAAAAAAAAAATTAAAATGATATATGGATAAATGAAAAAGATATGTGTGTGCTTACTGTCTTCAGCGACGATTTTTAATTTTTTTTAATCCTTTTACTCTTTTGGTAATTCTTAAAAAAATAAAATATGAGATTTTCATCTCCATGTAGATGGTGATTTTTTAAAGTCGGATTTTTATCAAAAGAAGATATAAGAAATAAAGGAAAAGACACACGGTAATAATAGCAACGGATTGGAATATATTTCGGGTGTCGAAAGATGTATTATTACACAATTTTTTTTTACCGAAAGTCTTTTGTGATTCTATTTTTTGGTCTTTTTTCAATCGTTTCTATACGGACAGTTCCACAGATGGATTTTTTAAAAATTTTGTGTTTGAGACAATTTTTCTCATAATAGAGCAATCTAGACGTTTCAACTGGAGGACGACTGAGCAAACTTAAGTAAAACGCCGAGTTCTATCTTCTGGATATTATTGCATTATTGAAATTAGATATAAAACATCACATAAAATAGTGCAACGCTTAAGCTTTTATTTTACTACTGTTTCGTTATTTAGAATGCTGTTCAAGACAATAAAGAGCCAAATAAGAATGTTTAACTGGTTTTCAGGAAGTTAAAATGAACTTTTCAAGAAATAATTTTTTTAAAAATTCCATTCATCTGTGGAATTACCGGTATTTAATCTTCGATGAAAAAACAGGTGAATTATGAGAATTTAAGTGTTTGAAAAACAACATAGCTATGATAGTACATCTTTTATTGTATTTAACAGTATTTAGTTGAAAATAAAATAAAATTGACTTTAGCTTTGAAAACTTTTACTACATAAATGTTTACTTTGAAGTTTAAGACCAATCTTAATTAACGAATATAACCGAAAATCAATGTGTTTGTTTCTTGCTTTTCTTGTCTGTGATATCAAAAAATTTTTTTTTCTGTTATTATTTTAAAATTTCAAAAAATATAGCAATTAGAACATAATAACTCCTAAGAAATTCAGTCTTAAATTAAAAATAAATAAATATGACAAGCACGAAAAAATAAATGAACGAATTAGATTTTAATTTAATTATTAAAGTGTACAATTTTAATGATCGGTTTAGGAACGAAGAGCAAATCAATTGTGAAAAAAAAAATCAAAAAATTGTTTAAGTGAATATAAAGAAAGTATGTCTTAAAATAATAAATTATGTCATATTACATTGAATCTTTATTTATAGCTTTAAATGGCTGACAGTATCTGTACTTTTTTGAAATCGCGCTCCTTGTCATAACGTTCCTTTGAGATTTAAATAATATTTATTAGAACATAGGTAAGTTACAAGTTTTTACTGATGAAATCAAAGGAGCAATCCCGACCAATCATGTAAATAATTTTTTCAAAATTTAACAAAAAACTAAAACGTGTGCGTTCATGAGGAAATATGAACATCAATCATTAATCAATTTCAAATGTCAAAACTATAGTTTCGCCCTTGTATTCATCTAATCAAAGGCACAAAAACATCATGAAGATATCTAATCAATTTGAAAAATTTGCATTAGGCGCCATAGTACTATTTACTTTAAACAACTTTTTTAGTATTATCACCATTCCTACAAAACCATTTCAACACGTTCTTATTCATGATAAATTATTATTTTTTTTTCGATGCTCTCTCGAGAAATTTTTTTAACAAAATTTTGTTGAAATAGAAAACATACACAGACAGTATTTGAGACTATGTAGTTAATAAGTCCATTATGTTACAAATTACGGCGCATTTTTTAAGTTAAAAACCTCGAACAACCAACAAAATACTTTAAACACTACAACATTGAAACAAATACAAATTTTAAAACCTTTAAATTTTAAATCTGATTTCAAAAAAATAATTTAAAAATAGTTTTTTAAAAAACATTTCTTCATCCATGTGAACGTCAAAAATGAGTTTAGACAGAATAATAGAACAACCGAAATATAGTTCGGAATATACGCTAAAAAGTGATTAAGTCTAAGAATTATTTCTTTTTTTAAGTAATAATGTTCAAAGAAGATAAAAAAATAACAAAAAAAAATAAATCTGTATCGCGGATGAAACTATCATTAGTCGAACACAGCAGGTATCAACAATAAAAATCAATTCAGCACTATTATATTTTCTTTCATATGGTCGTTTTCTATGTTGATGGTCTAAAATGAAACAAACTTTCATATTTATATCGATCAGATTTAATACAAGTAGATATTCTAAGGAAGTAAGCTTTAAAATCTATCATCATTCCATCCACGCATATGATGATTAATGAATTTCATTTTCAAAATATGTTTTTTTTTTAAATTTTAACTGACACCTTTTCTCTTATGTATGGGTAAATCTATGAATAAACGGTACTATAGAAATCGATTTGAAATTTTTCAACTTGATAAATCCTTTACTAAATTGTAAATTAGAGACCTAACAATTGTATTAAGTTTAATTTTAAACCTAAAAGTATATATATTTAATAAGATTTTGTGTGTTAATAATTCAAAATCAATCTACTTTCTACACAAAATAAAAATTTAAAGAACAATAAGCCAATTACAAGAAACTTTCAAAAAGACTGATTTTTTTGACAGAAAAGTCTTTAATAGATTTGCAAAGTGTATTGCAAAATTAAAATTTTTGATTTTGTTTGATATTTTATGAAGCAAAATTTTGCACTGAAAATTTTAATATTTTAAGAGCAGTTAACCTCTTAGAAGAATTATGTGATGCTCAGCATTCAGTATTTGTTTGTTTATGAAAGATATCATTGACTTTTAAATTCAATTTTCAATTTATTCACTTTTTAAAAATCTGATAAGATTTGAGCGATTTTGGATTTATAAATAAAGATCATTTTAGCAGCTAATAAAAAAAAATAAAGATTATTATTATTTTTTGTTGTGTTAAAGTAAAGTACTGGGGGTCCTTGATTTTAGAAATGATAATAGAAAATTAGTATTTTTTGTAACGGAAATTTTTCATACAATAAATAAATAATTCGATTTGACTAGATTTGATTTGAACAAGATTTTTCTGGAACAAAACACCTACTCAAATCGAGGTCCCCCAGTATTTTAATATTATTATTCTGTTCTCGAAATTATTACAAAGCATGGTTTTATATATTTCTTTTTCTTTTACTTGTATTTATCTGTATTTACATTTTTCTCAATGAAATATTAAGAAGCTCTTGCATGTATATAAAAATGCAAAACCATTGATATACAAAAATATAATCCTTAAGTATACCACCGTCTTAGAAAAATTTTAAATAAATAAAATCTTTCACATCCAAAGCGTGAAAAATATAAAAAGAAAAATGAATAGTTGGTACAAAAAGATTGATTTGAATTTTAATAAACAAGACGTCTTTGAGTTTATTCTTCATAATATTTATGAATTGGATTTGACTTATTGAAAAAGATTTTTTGAAACAACTTATTCTTCCAAACATTTTTTTTAAATATGTAATATTGTTAACTTAGCATTTTGTTACGTGCTTTATTTAAAATACTCTTACAGTTTTAGGTCATTTCTTAAAACAGAATTAATAAATACTGCTTAAAAAACTTTGATCGCAAAAAAACTTTGATCAAAAACTATTATTACATAAACTTGACATGTATAAACAAATTATGGTTTTAAGAGTAGTAACGATGTGGTTTCATGTAAAGATTCCTATACCGTTCCAAAACTTTAATTTTAATAAATAATAAATTTCAAAATGGAAAAAAAATGCGCTTTCAATGTGCGGTCTTTGGTCCTGGTTTTTGAATTCCTGTAAACAGTTTAGAATGTTGTGATAATTTTTTCAAATTAATACTGTAAAGACCAAAGATAAGAAGAATTTCGGAATATTGCAAAAAACATTGCTGGCAGTTTTTATTTTACACTTTAACATACCTAGACATTATCGTTGAAATATCCTAAGACCAGTGATCACGGTTTTTTTTTCCTTTTTAAAACAAAGCCGTCGATATACAAATTATGAACAAAATTCTAAATGCGCTTTTTCAATTCGTTAATTAAAAGTTTTTTTTTTCTGTTTTCCTTCTTTGCAACAACGGAAATAACAAACAATTTTAACCAACAGCATCATTATTATGCTACCTTATTACGCTTTCTCATTTTGTGTTCTTAAAAGTTTGTAACAAAAGCTTAGTACATAGTAATATATGTATTATTCAAAAATTTAAAAATAA